AATCAGCCTGGCGTTCACACCAAACGCGTGGCAGTTTTCTCACGCTTCAGCCATGCGCGTTCCATTGCCAAGACAAAACACGTTGACAGCCTGGAGGACTTTCAGGGGCCCCTGACAGCCCTACTGCAGGGCAGGCTCTGCGCGTTGGCCCGTGTTTTTTCCTTTTCGTTCCTGTTAGTCAATCACTGCCTGTGGCAACTAGCAGCATTGATTTAACTTGAAATGGAAGTTCGAGAATCCCTGCTGCCTGTCTCAGGGACAGCCATGAAGTTCCCGGTAACCACGTAGATTTTGTCTTTGCAATTTAAAGGCCCGCGCAACCCCAAGTGCCACTAGTGCAGGAGTGACTTTTTGGCACTAGCCCAGGGCAAATGAGCCTCAGGGCTTAGGAAGATTAGGGAGAGATGGTTCTTCATGGATCACTTCAAGGAATCTGAAAAGGTTCTGGCCTCAGTTGGAGGGCCGCTGACGTGGGAACCAGGCTGCACCTTTGTCGCGGGCAATATGTCAACCCTTCAACCAGGCCTGGCAATTTGTCGCCGTTTCTAATTAGTTGCTACGCGTTCCATTCCACGCCATGTCCATGAAACACTGTGGAACCCATAAGCATGTTTCGCGCCATCCCAAATGCCTAGTGCGTTGTTTTTTTGTCTATAGCATTTTTGGGGCTGTTGCGTCTTGATGGTTGTTGCACTTGGCTCCAGCTCGAGGCCTGCAAGATCACCTTCAAATTTTGTCGGCCAAGATGCTCATCCGCCTCGTAGTTGCCATCGCCTCCACTTCCATCAGCTGTTTTGCAAGAAGCACCGCTGAGATGCCAAAAACGCACTCAAACCTCGCATAGATCGAAAAACGGAAGCGCAACACTGAATGAAAACGTACTAACTAACGCACTCACACACACTTGTGCGCTTGCGCCCACTCACATTCCGTCACGCGCTGCCCGCGCACGCGCACACACACACACACACGCACGCACCTGTACACTGTACACAGACTCAGACTCATAAGCAACGGCCGAGCGGCTCCTCCTCCTACCTCCTGCCATGACCACGCCATTTCTTCTTCTTGTTCTTCTTCACTCACTCACGCGAGTTGCCCAGCACTGCACATGTACTTTGACAAGTACACAAATCTTTGCTTCTTGAGCTTCTCGCGCAAACGCACCGCGTGGCTGTTGAGCACGTTGGCGACGTTGCGTGAACAAGTGTGACTGCTCACAACTGTCCTGCGCGCACCAGCTTTTCTACTTGCACTTGTGCACCTGCGCGCCTGCGCCCTCATTTGGAATCTCAGGAACGCGGCTGGACAAGAGGTGCATGCGCAAGCTCATCCGCATCTAAGCAGCAAACACCACGCTTGCATCCTGTGTGAGCCCATATATGTTCGTGTGTGTGTGTGTGCGGGCAGCGCAGGGCTGCTGCGAAAGAGCGCAAGTGTGCAAGTGGGTGCCCGCATCTGTCTTACTGAGTTATTGGTGCGCCTTGCTTGTTTGTCTGTGCAAAATGTTTTCAGCCTAGGTCTTCCGGATGGCTGGGAGCTGGCAGCCTTGAGCATCTTAGGCGTTAAGAAAGTATGGGCTGTGTTTGTGTTTGCGTGTGGGTGTGTGTGTGTGTGTGCGAGTGTGTGAGACAGAGAATGCCAAGAACGGCTCAAAAACTCTTTGCGTAGCGCTAAGATCTTTTTTCCCCCCCCCCCCCGCGCCGTGAGTTTGGCAGGGGCTTCTTTGCGAACTCAGGCGTGTTTCATCGTGTGGCCAGGTAGGCGCTTGCCAACTCGTATTGCATCAGTGAACTCGGCTGCCTGCGCGGCCACCTTCGGGAGGTGTCGGCGCTGCGTCAGGGCCAGAATGGGAACCCCATGCGCACGGCCGTCTTGATCGACTGTGTTGGCATGGGAGCACAGGTGTGCGCCGTGGGAGACAACGCGGAAGCCTTGGTGGACGGATCGGTTATGGCGCTCTTCAGCGTGCAAATGACGCTGGATGATGACGGAGAGAAGAAGGTGCTGGTGTTCGACGACGCGTACTGCCAGGAGCTGGCTCGCCAGGCGTAGGAGCAGAGCCAGATTTGTGCTCACATTTTTGCAGCTGCCCATAGCGTCCCCACGGCCAGGCACGAAGCCCGGGCCGAGGAGCTGCTGGGGTAGGAAGCAAGCGCAGCAAGAAGCAAAAAGGTGGGTGTCGCTCTGTCTCTCTGTCTCTGGGTCTTTCTGTCTCTCTGTCTCTCTGTCTGGTGTCCTCTGTCTCTCTCTCTCTCTCTCTCTCTCTCTCTCTCTCTCTCTCTCTCTCTCTCTCTCTCTCTCTCTCTCTCTCTCTCTCTCTCTCTCTCTCTCTAGGTGTCCGACACGCCGAAGAAGGGCGGCGGAAGTCGAGCAGGGTTGCAAACAAGCAAGCTGTGTTTGGGCAGCCGTTTATGTTAGACCAGGTCAGGTGTTCAGTGTGTTATTGAGTTTCGGCTTGGATGACCTGGTAGCTGCCGGACTCAAGGATTTCGAAGGAAGGCCCACGCTCAAGAAACCGCCCTTCGAGTTGACCCGTGCCACAGACTCAAACCTGTTGTCTAAAAAGCAGGGCGCCGCCGTCACTGTCGGGACAGTTGCAGGGGCCAGACAAATGGGCAGTCAGTCAAGTCGTCACTTAAGACCCACGAAGATCTTCTCAAGAACCTGACAGAAGATAACCCCGGAAATCAAAAAAAAGCTGGGTCGAGTGGACAAGGATGTCGGGCTTCACTTAAGACCCAGCAAGATCCTTTCAAGACCCTGACAGTAGATAACCCCGGAAATCGAAAAAAAACACAGGGTCCAGACTTCCGCTCATGCCCCCTGCATTTCCCCATCACATCCCTTTCAATTCATCTGCATTCCCTTCACAATTCTCACGAAGACGGTGGACAAGGATGTCGAAAAACACTGTCTTTGGCAATGCTTGCAGCAAAGGGAGGTAACAAAACACATTTTTCTCGATGCTGTCAGCGAAAGGAAGCGCAAAACCCGAGCCAGTAGAGAGGCGGCAGGGGGCTGGAAGGTGAAAAGCACCGTGTTTTGCGATGTTTTCAGCAAAAGGAAGTAACAAAACACCGTGTTTTTTCGATGCTGTCAGCAAAAGGAAGCGCAAAACCCAAGCCAGCAGAGAGGCGGCAATGGGATTCGAGCCTGGGACCCATGTTTCGCCCGCGTCGCGTAAAGCGGCAGCAGACTGCCGCGCGGTACGCGAGCGTGTGCCGTTGTATTTCCCCTGCGCCAAGAGGCCGGGCAGGCTGGGCTGGGCGCTTGCTCAGAGGCCATAGCCCAGCCCCCTCAGTGCGGCTGCCCAGCCCGCCGTGAACTAGCTTCAGGCCCAGCTCTTATCTGATGTGTCTGAGACTAGCCTGTTGTGGCCCAGCCCAACCAGGCGAGGCCGGCTTGTCTGACTTGTCTGGAGCCAGCTTCAGGCCCAGCCCAACCAGCAACCCGCGCGAGCAAGCCACAGTTCGGCCCAGGCCAGCCCAACCCTAGCAAGGCCCAGCCCAGCCCGCCCTGCCCCAGGCGCAGGCCTTCCCCAACCAGCAGCCTGGTCCGGCGCATGGCATCAATTGGCCCACCAGCCCTTCACTCCGGCTGCCCAAGCAGCGCAGCCCAAGCTGGGCCTGAGGTTTCAGACACGTCAGACAGGCCGACTGGGCTGGGCTAGACGCCAGTTGAGCCCAGGCTGGTGAGGCCCAGTCTTGGCGCTAGATAGGCTGAGGCCCACGAGAGGGTGGGCTTGGGTTGGGTTTGCTTAGGCGGGTTGTTGGGCTGGGCCTGAAACTAGTCTCAGCCACCAGCCGGACTACGCTGTTGGTTGCGCCTGGAGCTTCGACTGGGCGGGCGGCTGAGCTGTGCTTGGGCGGGTTGCTGGATGGGCAAGGCTTGTCTCATACACACTTGGGCCTGAGGCTGGGTAGCGAGTTGCTGGCTGGGCTGGGCCTGAGGCCAGTTGCAGACACGTAAGACACGCCAGCAGGCGGGCTGAGGGACTGGGCCTGAGGCTAGTCTCAGGCTGGCGTACTTTGAGACCAGTCTCAGACTGCGCCGAAGGGGCTGGGCCTGCTGGATGACTCGAGCAGGAGGTCAAGGCCTGGCCAGCCTGGGCTGAGCTGCTTGGGCAGCCGGACTGAGGGGCTGGGGCACGTCAGACAGGCCAGCAGCTGGCATAGCTTGCGACCAGTCTCAGACACGTGAGACTGGTCGTTGTCTCAGACACGTTAGACAAACCTGACCTTGGCATGCCAGTCTCAGCCACGAGGCTGCGAAGCCATGGTGGGTTGCAGGCTGGCATACTTTGAGACCAGCCCAGACTGCGCTGAAGCTGGGCCTGCTGGGGTCAGACGCAAGCTCAAGGCCTGGCCGCCTGGGCTGAGCTGCTTGGCTTAGCTTGAGACCAGTCTAGACACTGGCCTGAGGCCAGTCTCAGACACGTTAGACAAACCTGACCTTGGCACGCTGGGCTGAGCCTGCTGGTGGGCTGCCTGTGGCTGGCATGCTCTGAGATGCGCCGGGCAGGCTGGGCTGGGCTTGCTGGATGACTTGGGGCCGTGCTTGGGCGGGTTGCTGGTTGGGCTAGGCCTGTTTCAGACAAGCTTGGGCCTAGTCTCAGACACGTCAGACAGGCCTGGCCAGCAGGAGGGCATGCTTTTCAGGACAAAAAGATTTTACTTTTCGCAATTGTCAGCACATAAACGACAAACATGGACCCATGGAGCTGGACGCCGACGAACCCCGAAAATTTCAAGGCCCGCCGGACAGGATTTTGGGCCAGCCGACATGGGTGGGGGGGGGCGGCAAAATTTTGGTCGAAGCGAAGATTGTTTTTGGAGCGCCCTTGGCTGCTTTGGGGCCGAGGCGAATTTTTCATGGGTAGTTCTTTCGGGTCCAGGTGGTTCTGTCTTTCTTGCCCCACCTGGGGCTCCGATTCTGCGTTTCATGGGTCGTAGCTGGGCGGAGGCGGAAGCCGCGCGCTCGCTCCACGAGTCCGCGAGGAGAGAGATGAGGCGCTTGGACGAGGCGATCGGCGTCGCGGGGCCGGAGGAGGCCGTGAAGCTGCTCGACATGGAAAATGGGGGGACCCGTTGGTCGTGTTTTTCCATTTGCTGAAACGAACAATTGTTGTTTTCCCCTGTTGGTTTTAAAGGGAATCGATTTCACTGCTGGAAATATGTATAGTATGATTATTATAAATATTTGTCCAGGGTTCTATACGACCAAATGGAAGTTGGTCGTGCTGCTCCGATCTGGAATGGGGCGCCTGAAAGCGGACCCTGGAAAAGAGCTTGGGCCTGGGCTTGGCTGGGTCTTCTTTGTGGAGTTGGCATGTGGTTTTTGAGTGGTTTTATAAGGGGAAGCAACAAGGGAAGCAACACGGGAACATCTTTTTTTGGAGTTGGCACGTGTGTTTTTGGGTGGTCAACAAACGGGAACATCTGAAATGTCTGGCACCTGAAAGTAGGGCGGGACGTTTAAAAAGAGTTTGTTTCCATGAGGTGTCCCTTGAAAACACCGCCCATTCGAACAAAGACCCATTGAACAATCTGAGCCGCCCATGGACGCCGACATTTTGCCGCAAAGTCGGCAAGCCCTCAAACAATAATACGAGTCGCCCATTGCCGATATTTGCCAGCCAAATTTGGTTATAATTCCCTTTGCTGGTTTGCTGAGAGGAGGGCTCGGACTCGAAATGCCGCGCTGCACGCGCGAGCGTCTACACCAGTGGACCAGTTGGGATGGACGAAACCCTGCGAAAAATTGAGACAAACCACCTACCAACTAGGAAGGGACTTCGTCCATCTACAGATTACGATTTGTGGTGACTTTGATTGAAAGCTTGGAAAAGTTCACTGTGTCTCAAAGTGGTGGAGAATCTGTGCAAGGCATGTGTCACGCTCTCGCTGCAGAACACCGCAATGCCCTCCACCATTTGTGTGCGTGTGTCGGTGGGAGGGTGTCCTATTTTCAGGAACACTAGCAGAAACCCGGCCAGGTTTGGAGGCCAAGGTTGGCTTGGCTGTCCTTTGGCCAAAGACCAGCTGTCCGACACTTCGGGGAAGTTCAGTGAACCCCCGGTATCTTCCGGTCCACGTCATAAAACCTGACCGAGCGGTGGAAGACTATTCTCCTTCAACCCTCTGGGTTTGATGGTGGACGAGAGGGTAATCCGCTTGGAAAAGGCACCTAACTCGCTGCCCAAGGCCAAAGGTCTTTTGACCTTTTTGTTTCCCCTTGTTCCATGTCTTCCTTTTTCGCGACCCGACAAGTGAACCGAACCTTCCTTTTCTGTGTCCCTGGAGTCTCCTTCTGACCCTTAAAAAATGGTTGGTCATGACCCAAAAGTAATTGGATCATTGTTTTCCTGCTATTGGGTTGGATCTTTCGACTTGAACTTTTCGGTTGAAATCAGGTCACTTTTTGCAGGGGGGTCGTGACAGCAACCAAGATTGACCCAGCTTGGCTTTGGGTCAGAAGGAGACTCCGGGTGCTTTGAGCAGCTGAGTCACCACATCGCTCTAGGGGACACCTCCCCATGAATCCAGGGAACCGTTTTTCTTTTCGAACCAGCAGAATCCAAGGGGAAACGGATCCGGTGTGCAAAAAGAAGGATGGTTGAAACGAATGGTTGGAATCAAGCCCTAGAATCGCATCTGCTTTCGCGGTGCAGAAAAAAACCCAAGTCGCTGAGTAGCTTTCCGCGCTGATGCGACGCGAGGCTGTGCCAGCGACTGTTGCAGCTCTATGACCAGGAGGGCCTGCATTTGCAAGCACTGCGAGGTGCGCGCTTGGGTTTCAGAAACTTGGGAGAGCTGTGTATATGTTTGGTTTAGTTGGTTTGTTTGTTTGTTTGTTTGCGTTTGTTTGCTTGCTTGCTTGCTTGCTTGCTTGCTTGCTTGCTTGCTTGCTTGCTTGCTTGCTTGCTTGCTTGCTTGCTTGCTTGCTTAGTTGCTTGCTTGGACCGATTCCAGCCGTTTGTTTGTTTTGGGGCGCCTGCTCGGTTTGGGTGCGCTCTCTGTGCTCCGCTTTGGAGTGCCGCGGAGCGGCCGGCCGCCGACGGCCGGCCGCGCCACATCTAGCAATAAATCTTGTCAAAGGAGGGCTGGACTTAGCCCCTTTTTTGAAGGTGCCCTTTTTCTGTGGTTTTGCTTTTGGAGCCAAAAGCAACACCTTTTCTTGTCTTTTGTTTTTTGCCTTTTTTGTGAACCGCTCTGCCTAGCTTTCCTTTTGTGTTCTCTTTCAAGTCATCCGAATATTGCACCCACTTCGGCAATGGAAATTAGCCAGTAGGTAAATTCGCCACGTTTGGAGACATCTATCGCACAACTATAACGACCCCTCAATATGCTTGCAATGTGCCCCCGTAGCTGCCTTTGTTTCTGCAAGGCGAGCTAAAAAGGAGGGAGAAAAGGGGTCCAAGCCAACCAGAAGCCAGCCAGAAGCCAAGCAGAAGCCAGCCGGAAACCCGGCCAAGCTCAGCTTCTTTAGTCTCCAGTTCCCTCGCTTGCCTAGCATCTTTGAGTTTTAGGTTCGGAATCTGCTGGGGCGCCCAAAGAATTTGTTGGGAAATGGTTGCCCACTTTGTGCCGAAGAAACCCTGGATATGAGTGTTTCAAATCAATTCCGGTGGTTCGAGACTCGAGGATGACTCGCAACCATACAAAAGTATGGGCGTGTCTTGTGAGGGTACCAACATTTGGTCTGTTTCAAGGGGAAACCAAAGGGAAGCCGAAATACCTTCTTGTCGCACATGCTGTGGATGGACGAAATCCAGTTCGCACCGCCTTTCAGAAACCCTGGAACATATGATTCCCCAGCGTAAATACCAACAAACCTGATTTTTGTTCCTTCCCATGGTTTCATAAACCCGAATCCAAGACAAACCCAAGTACACTTTCCTTCTCCAATGGCTTGCACAAGGGGAACCCCGAGCATTTGGTGCGAGACGCGCGGATGTCGCGAAGCCATCAGCACGTTTTCCGGGTTGGTTCTTGCAGGCCGTGCCTGTTTGGATGCCTGCGGCGCCTGTGCAGCGCTCCGGGAGGAAGCGCAGGCGCCGAAAAGGGTTGGATGGCTTCCCTTCGCGAAGGGGCACGCAGAATGTTCTCGGTTCAAAGCCGAGCTGTTGATCCATATGGCCGTGGGCTTCTCAAAATCCAAATCGGTTGGCCCCAGGGAACATCGCAATCCAACCACTGAAATAGGTTCTAAGATGGGTGAATTCACCAATCCCAACCAAAATGGGATCCCCAGCCATTTTTGACCCACAGCCATATTTAGTCGAAAGGTGAACCTTTTTTCTTCCAGGTCCTTGGGGCTCTCCAGTTACCCCCTAAACCCATGGGAAAACCGAAATCGCATCCCTACGCGCATGAAGGTTGACCCCAAATGAATCGACTGGCTATGAATATGCGGGTGTTGGCCCCGAAAGTTCTGAACCCCCACCAAAATGAATGGGGTTCCACTGGATTAGATGGAGTTATGCCTATTTGCCAGGCATTCCCATCTTTTTTTCGTAGTTTAAATTGGATTGGGGGGGACTTCTGATTTGGATTCGAACCGATTCCCGCTTCTTGCAGATAAATGGGAAACCACCCCTGACCACCAACCCGCATCGAGCATCCTATTTTAAGCCACACCCAAATACCAGCCAACAAGGTGTCCACAATTTGGAGAAATATGGTCAGGGTAACTCATGTGTTTGATGACTCGTTACTCAGTCACGCTCAGCGGAGGATTTCCGAAGAGTTTGTTTTCGTCGAGCGGGTCAAGGATCCCGGTGAAAAGAGTGGGAAACAAAAGTCCCAAACAAGGCAACGCCTTTTATTGTTTAGTTCAACTCCGTGTTTTCTCGGTCAAACACGTGCTAAAAGTACCAACCGCTAACAACTTGTGGTGTTCAACTCTATGTTTTCTCTTGTTCAAGATCTTTTGCCGCTTTTCCCTGTCCTTCCATTCGCTCAAGAATATTGTTTCTTTTCCCCTGTTCTTTTTTGTTTGGAAGCTAATCAATACTGGACATATTTGATAACTGTTTGCAGGGGACTTCTCAGCAAGTAGAGGTCGACCTGTCCGTCCGTTTCCTTGGGGTGTTCGTTGTTTTTAGTTTTGAGTTAGTTGAGTGGTTGGGTGTCCCTATTTCACCCGCAAGTTAAATTCCATTTGTTTAAGAATATGCTTATTTTCCCCTGTTGTGGTGTTAAAAGGAATCGATCACTCCTGCAGGAGATATGTTCTTCATTTTTTTCCAGGGGGCGAGAAAGCAAATGGAAGTAAACTCTTTGAGCAGGGGATGTGTCTAGAAATGTTGGCCTTCGCTAAGGGGGCAAGGCAGGTCCTCAGCTCAGCTTTTGAGGTCCGGTGCTGGGCTCAGAAGGCCCAGACCTTTTACGGCCACGGCTTAGGTGCGGGGCCCGGGGCCTCGGGGCCCGTGTAGCTTCCAATTCCTTCGAGGGATCCATTTTTCTTTCCAGAAAACCACCAAAAACCCTGGGGAAGCAGCTGGTGATTGAAAAGAAGGATGGTTGAAGAGAATGGGGAATCAGCCCCTGGAGTTGTGGGAGCGAGTCATCCGCATTTGGAGAGTTTCCGAGCGTTGCCGAGCTGTAGATGGTTGCGAGTCGTCCGCGAGTCTCGCTCCATGTCAGAAACTCAAGGTGTGGTTGGTTGATTTTGTGGTGCGAAATGGACTTCGCAACCATCCACTGCATGGAACTGCGTTCCCCTGGAAAGGGCCCTATGTATTGCGTGTGTGGGCGCTATTGTGGAGTTCCCTCAATTTGACACGTACACATGTGGGTTTGTTTGCACGCCTTTTTTGGGCGGAGCATGCCCTTCGACTAGGCTGCCATGTTGACGGACAAGGTTAAGCAATGCATAGAGAGGGTAAGGTTGCAGCCCAGTGACTGCATTCTAAGGGTTTTTTGCATTACACGCTGGGAATGCACCCACTGGGTATTGACCCCATTTAGGCACATTTCCGGATAGAACCGTGATTGTTTTGTGAGCCATTCTGGGTCATGTCCCAAGGGTGTAATCCCAGGGTGTAATACAAAAACCCTCAGAAGGATGATGTTCCACGAAGGATGTGACCAGCCTTCAGATTCTCATCCAGGCGTGTCTCCAAGGTACTGCGTGTGGACAACATCCTGCACCTAAGAATCCCAGGAATGATGCGACTGCCTGTAAATCCCACCCCCCCGGCTTCCCGTGGTTCCTTACAATAGCTGGTGCAAAATGGTATGTGATGCGGGGCCTTTCGCTGGAGGACGTTGCAGATTCTAAAGTTTGCAGTCATGAGCCTTGACCCAACTACCCACACAAAAAGTTGGAGTTCACCAATTCCAGATGTTTGGGTTGAACGACATCTCGCCTGTTTTTAGGTTGGAATTTTCAGGGCTTAGGTGCTTGTTTTAGTTTCTGCATAGGTGTTCAGCTTTTGGGCATCCTGCAAGCCTTGGGTACCGTAATTACTTACTGCTGGTTCGGATTTTCATGGGCGCAGGTCAGTAGAGAGAAGCTGCAAGATGCTGCAAGCTGCAGAAGCAGTGGAGGCAAATGAGGTTGCAGAGCTCCAACTTACTTTTTTGTTTTTCTTCGCGGAAACCAACAACGGCGCTAGTCTGAAAACTGCAGGGCTCGAGTTTCTGCTTCCGAGCTTTGGCTTCGGGGTTGTTTCCCCATTCTTTTCAACCGTCGTTCTTTTCGAAAACCGGATCCGTTTCCGCCGGGTTTTTGGAGGTGTTCTGGAAGGAAAAAACGGATCCCTGGATTCAGAATGGGGGAGGTACCCCTCTAAAAAATGGCACTTGCGAGGCTCGGTCAACAAGTACGTTGTGTCCAGACCTTCAAACAGATCCAAAAGCCAAGCGGCCTGCGGCCCCAGGGTCATAGAATTTCCGAGTGCTGCGAGTGGTAAAATTGGAGACTGGCCTTCTGGCCTTCTGGCCTTCTGGCGGGTGAATGCGCCTTATGGGTCATTGCAGGCTGGCCTTCTGGCCTTCTGGCCTTCTGGCGGAAGGGGTGAATGCGCCTTACAAATGGGTCATTGCCCCCAAAAGTACGGGGCTGAATTCCCTCTGTTTATGGGTATGTGAATACCTGGACCTTCAAAATTCCCTTAAACTAGATCTTTCAGTAGTGCCCTTTTGCCCTTTTGTGGGGGAGGGTTCCCCTACACAAATAGACTACAGAAAAAAATCGAGTACCCTGTTTTCTGACCTCTCTACTGGAGCACCTATTAAACATTCATAGATGGTTGCAACCCAACATGGTTGGTGACTGCCATTTTGTGGGTCGTTTGAGGGGTCAGGTTTAGTCGCTGTTTTGCCCGGCCGGTGGGACTCTCAGGCCAGCAGTGATCATTGTCACGCCCCAAGAACCTCACACGCCCCATTGTCAGACCCGGTGTGTCTTAAAGATAGGTGGCCCCCAAAATGGTGTTCAGTTGTCCCTTTGGTTTTTCTTTGTGTTTGTGCCAAGTCCAAAATGGGTATACCCACACGAAATCGACAGCAACATTTGGTGTGAAGCTTCTTTTGCCGTTGCCAGGTCCCTTCCACGCGCTGACGCTACTCGGCTACGAGGGAACCGGCGATGCTGGATGTATGTCATCAGAAAATGGGTTTGTCCTCAAAAGGGTATGTCTCGAAATACTGTGGATGGGCAAAAAAGGGTAGCCCAAAACATGGACACCCAAACCTGCGGTGAGTTCCCCCAACCAGAACCCCTAAAGCTGCTGGCGGGCATCGATTTCACTGGTACCCAGTTGCCCAGCGGCGCCCCTTTTTTCTCCTTTTTCTTGCAAGGGTTCCCCTTGAACCTCACTCACCCAAAAAAGGATGCCCTTGTTTTTCCATGGCCACTGGGCATTTGAGGGTTGCTCATTTTTCCCCAGACGGCGTAAAAGACCATGGAAGGCGTCCAGACCTAGCCCTGGCCGCTCCTTTTCGCCTTGCCCTCTCACCATTCCCCCTAAGAACCGGACCTCCTGAAACCGCAAGCGGTTCCCTCCGTCGCCCGGGGGTGTTGAGAATGAAGCCCAGTTGGTTTCAGCTTGCTCTGTCCTTTGGCGGCAACAGAGGAAAGTAAAGAAGCGAGAAGCAACAAGCAATGGGTATGTGGGTTGTGTGAGCCCCTGTTTGATCCATGAAAGGAGACCAAGATGAAACTCACCATTTGTGCTTGGGGTTAACCGGGCTGGTACGGATCCTTGCTAACCATTATAACGATTCCTATTCGGGGAACCATGCCCCAATCGGCCAAGGACACGGAGTTTTGACCATGGCTCATTCGAGGTTGCCGAGAAACTCCCGTGCAGAACCAGGACTTCACAATAGCACGTTTGGTACCATACCAACCAAGGATACGCAGCATGAGTCGTACATAAACTCTCCGATTTGTTTCGACATCCAAGCCTCTGATGAATTTGAGGCGCCGGGCGGCCGTCTATGCTCTCCAGCCCCGTAGCCACCACCGGTGGCGGTAAAAAGAACATGCGCGCGCGCGGTGCTGTCGGTGGGCTTGGGTGGTTGTGGGCTGGGTGTGGGTCGGGTGGGGTGGGGCAGGTTGGCACTTTCCCAGACCCTGTGACCCATGTTTCCCCTTTTTTTCAGCCTTAAAGCTGCGGAGGATTGCAAATCCCAGACCCTGTGGCCCATGTTTCCCTGTTTTTCAGGCAAAGAGGCGCCTGAAAACGATGGGAACGGGCCAGGTCCACGCCGTTTTGGATCCAAAAACGGCGAAAAACGTCACCCGAGCCCGGAGGACCGGGTTCAGAGCCACGGCGCGGCGCCGGACCGGCCCGGAAGCCCGGGAAGCCCCGGAACGCGACGTGCCACCGACTGAAGCGACGCGTGGCCCCGGGGGCCGTGGCTCAAAACCGAAGCTGCACCGTTCTTGGCATGTTTTTGGTTGTTTCTTCTTTTTCTCTTTGTTTGTTTTGTTCTGATCATTTTTGCTGGGGGTCTGCAAAAAACAAAGTTGTTCGCTACCATACCAAGAGTAGAGATGAAAGGGATCCCATTTTTAGAACCTATTTTAGTGATTTTAGTGGGGAGTGGGATGTTTACTGGGGGTAGGGGAGTTTGACCCATGGCGAAGTGGGGGAACTGGGAATAACTTCCATTTCCATTTTTTGCAGGGATCCTTCTTTCTAGAAAACCACCAAAAACTCGGGGAAATGGCGATCGGTTTTTGAAAAGAGCGATGGCTGAAAAGAATGGACAAGGAATCAACCCCTAGAATTAAGCCATCGAACCAACGCAGTTGCCCCAGTTGCAACCATTGTCACCTACTTTCCTGACGTTGGTTGAAGACCCAAGCACTTCGTGGTATATAAGGCATCCTGGACCATGACGTGCGCGCCGTTGTTGGTTCAGTCCTTTCCAGTCACTTGTTTGACGACCATTTTGGTGGTAAAGGCAAGAGTTCGGTTACATACTCAACCAAGGTTTGTGAGTAATGTTGACCCAGGATTAATAAACCCGTCCCATTATTAGGGGGGTGTTCCCTCCAAAAGTGATGAATCCCCACTAAACGGGGACACACCCCTATTAGTCAACCAGGGGTTTATTAATCCGGGGTTAACATTAGGTAATAGCCATGGCAAGCTGACCCCAGTTGCTTCAGCTGCATCCCGGAAAAAAGCCATGGTTGTAACCTATTTACCCGACGCTGGTTGAATCATTGAACACCCGTGTCCGGTGTTCAAGCGATTGCTTTGGACCCCATGGGCTGCATGCGCCCTCGATGTGGCAACCGAGCGACCCCCGACTGACGCGTTGTCCATCTGCTCCCCGTTTAAAGCTTGACCCCAAGAAGGGGTATAATCCCCCAGTCTCACATGGAAGCTCCCATGACTTTGGAAGACAAGAGGTTCCGTTTACAGAGGTCTTCTGGGAGCCTCCACGCAAGTCTGAGGGAAGCGTAAGAAGACCAACGCAACCCAAAAGAAGGCCATGCTGGTCCTAGCGTAGATGAACGAAATCCTGCACCACTTTGAAACCATGAGAAACCATTGTTTGCTGGTGTTTACAGTGGAATCATCATTCCAGGGTTTCTTGGGTGGTGCAGGATTTCGTCCATCCACGGCCACGCCATGAGTCCTGTTGCCACTACCGAGGCAAGCGCGGCACTGCGACGTGTCGGCGCTCATGGTCGGATGGCTCAGGTCTGGTCAGCGCCATAGGCGTCCTCTTGATCGGTTGGTTTGGCGAGAAGTAGATGGATTCCACTGGTTTGGTAATAGGTTTGATTCCATTGACAGGACCATCGTATTTTTTGCCAAAGGTCACCTATGGTCAACGCCCCAAAAGGTGATCATGCGTTGTATTTCCAGGTCGATGCTGGAGCAAACTCTATGGCTTTGTGACTCCATGAAGGTTGTGTTTTTGAAGGCTTGGATCAAGTTATTTCAAGTTGAAGTATTATAATTGGGCTAGATGCGGAAGACTATTTTAGTGGCAAACAAAAGTTTGGGCTTTCGTTGGCCCGTCCACCAATTGTCAACCTGTCAAAGGCTTAGGTCTTCAGCAAAAGTTCATTGCCATCTTTGGATGATGATCTGATGTCATCTGTTCTAGGATGGTTTCCCCTACCCCCAAACCGCAGCTACTCCCGGTTTTTGGAGGATATTTTAGCTACATTGCCGCTACGCTGTGGTTTGGGGTAGTGGTCTGGGGGTAGTTGGGGGTATCGGAACCCATCCCCATCCCATCTCAGCAGTTGCACATCAAAAGCAAGAAGCCGATTGCCCGCCTCGCTCTTGGCTGGAAGCAAAGGTTGCAGTCCAAGCAGAAAGCAACGAGTCACTTCGGGGGCGCCTTCCTCGTGCCGTGGGAAATTTTTTGGGGGGGACCCGGGCGCGGTTCGTGGGAGCGAGAGAGCGGGTTCTCGCCATGGGCTGCAACGATTCCAAGCACGACGACTCACAAGAGCTCGGGCCTGAGGTCGGGCACTTTCTATGGTGGCTCCCAGCCATCCGGTTCCTTAGCTTTTTAGCCTTTCAGTGTTTAGTGGGGGCTTCCATTTAACCCACTAACAGTTGAACTTGTAGCAGGGGATCTGAGGGCAGCCCAGTAAAGTCAACCCAGGAGTGATGAACCCGTACTTACGTATGTGGGGGTGCCCTGGTTTTAGTATGTTTTAGTGGGGTTCATCGCTGTTTGTTAATATGGGGGGGTGCCCCTTGGGTTCACTGTTGGAGGGGAAGACCCCCCCCTGCAGCACTGCAGGGGTGTGCGATTTTTGATGCGGGGTCGAGGCCGTCGGATTGGAGCTCACAAGGGCGTGTCTTTTTTTTAACCCCCCAAAGAGCTTCGGCTTTCCCGTTGATTTGCCTTTAAGGTCACAGAAACAAGGAACCCTACAAAGACTCAGCCACAAATCCGTTTTGGAAGGGAAGCGACCATGGTTTGGGGAGTTTGCGCAGCGATCCAGCTGAGAGGTTCCTGGACGCGACTGGGATCCTGAGTTCTTTTTATTTGGCCCCCAGAAAACAGAATGGAGTTCAACAACCACAAGTGTGGGTTGCAATAACCCATGTTGTAAGGCAGGGAATGCTTGGGTCTTCAACCAACATCAGACAAGTAGGTGACAATGGTTACAACTGGGGTAACTGTTTTGGTTCGATGGCTTAATTCTAGGGGTTGATCCCTTTTCCATTATTTTCAGCCATCGTTCTTTTCAAAACCGATCGCCATTTCCCCAGGGTTTTTTGTGGTTTTCTAGAAAGAAGGATCCCTGGAAAGAATGGAAATGGAAGTTGAAGTTACCCCTAGAATTTTGTAAGGCTGGGAATTTTGCGGGCCCACCATTCAGAAACCCAACGGGATGAGAAGCGCTTCCCCAACGTAAATACCAAGCAACGTTATGGTTCAACCATGGTGTCTTACCTATGATGATTCCCCTCGGTAAATACCGACCAAACATAGGTGTCCGTCCTTCCCATGGTTTCAATTCGTGGCGCGAGATCTTGGCGGATTTTTCCGCGAAACCCTCCACAGGGAGAAGTCCGAACTACCTCTGTGGCCCTTTCCCAAGCTTTTGCTTTGGGCGTGGCATTGGAATCACGTTCCCTCGTCGGAAAAACTCTGCCTGAAGTCTCCTTCTGACCCTTTAAAAAATGGGTCTACGACCCATTTCCTTATTTTGGGTAATGACCCCGTGTTTTAAGGGTCATGGAGACTTCAGGTGGATGGTTGCGAGTCATCCACTTCGCACCAGCTTGAGACCATGGTTGTTGGTATTTGGGAGTTCATATGGCTGTGGCTCACAAAACCGGAATTCCAAAAAGGGTTGCCCTGCCTGCGGTTTGCCCCTCCTGTTTAATTTTGAGCCACACCCATATCATTCCAGGATTTCTGAAAGGCTGTGCGATTTCTGGATTTCGCAACCATCCACAATTGTTTTCTTGGTGGCTCCCAGCCATCCGGTTCCTTAGCCTTTTAGTTTTTATAGTGGTAGTTTTCACTTAATTAACCCACTAAAAGTCAAACTTTTAGCGGGGGATCTGAGGGCAGCCCTGGTTTGAATGATCTCATCAGCGAGTGGTTTATAGAGAATCAAGTCCCCAAGCCCCCCCAAACCCCCCCAAACCCCCCAAACCCCCCCAAACCCCCCAAACCCCCCCAAACCCCCCAAACCCATCCAAACCCCCCAAACCCCGCCAACCCCCAACCCTTCCCCCCCAACCCCAAACCCCCCCCCCCAAACCCCCTCAACCCCAAACTCCCTCAACTCCCCCGCAACCCCCCCCAACCCCTCCATCGCCGCCTTAGGCTTGGTGTTGGTGGGAACGCCCGGAGCTCGATGCGCGTGTCAGCCGAAAGCCTTCGAGCTGCGGTCAGAAAGTCAGAAAGGAAGACATACCTGGAGTCTCCTTCTGACCCATTAAAAGTGGTTGGCCATTATCCAACATAAGATAATTTGTGTCATGGACCCATTTTTGATTTGGGTCCGGGAGACTCCAGATACTTCCATTTGCTCAAGAATAGTATTCATTTCCCCCTGAGGGGAATCTATCACTACTGGAAATATTCTTATTTTTCCAGGGACTTAAGCAAATGGAAGAAAAGAGAAGAAAAGAAAAGAACAGCTAAAGGAAAGCAAAGAAGGAAAGAAAGACAAAAACATATAGAAAGCGAGGATGGGTGTTCGACCAAATTGACCTGACTTTTGGAAATCACGGCATCACTCGCTTTTTTGGGGTGCGGTAATTTATTCAGAGAGGCTCGGTCCCCGTCAAACCATCGGTGCTTTCTGGCACCTCGCAAGGCCGACTACATCAAGGTGTGGGGCCCCGTCCCAGCGAGGGGGCGAGGGCCGCTGAAGTGGTCTGAATCCAACCACGGAAAAGGGGAGGTGTCTATAAATGACTGGGGTCAACGTTACAGGTACAGGAATCCCAGTGCAAGGGGTTCCCAAAGCAGCCCGCCACTTTTGGTCGGGACCTGTACATCAACCCTCAGCGTTCGTCAGCTGGTTGGTACCGTATAGACATTTGGATGAAGTTTGCCTATCATGTCGGGGCTTGTATGGTCAACTTTCGGAGCAGGGCTGGTCCTTCTTTGTGTTTCTATCCCATTTGAAGTGTATTCCTCGAAGTACGATCTTGCCCCAGGTTGCCAAAGCATCGACGGGGCCTTTGAGGATGCCAAAATCGAGTTTGTAAACCCACCATTTTGGAGGGGTCTGTTTCAGGACTCGCCCAATTGGGCGAGTGGCTTTGGGCTCCCAAACTCGCGTGAAGGGTCCCAGAGCCGTTCCCCCGCTCACCCCTTCACTTCACCGGGACGGTCACGGACCTCAGGGAAGTTAGACAAGCCTGGCCATTCCTACTCTGGGTTGTTGCGAAATCCACTTCCGCAAGAGACCCTGTGTATCATGTTTGGGGGCATTTTCATGGGGGAAGCGGTTCTCTTTCCATTCGGTTTCATAGAACGATGGTGCGATGTCTGGATTTCGAAACCATCCGCAGCGTTTGAGCCATGACCGTGGCCGTGCGTCGGAGTCCAGGGTAGTGGTGGGTGGTGGGTGGGTGGTAAGTGGTGGTGGGTGGTGGTGGTGGGTGGTGGTGGGTGGTGGTGGGTGGGTGGGTGGTGGGTGGTGGGTGGGTGCTGGGTGGGTGGTGGATGGTGGTGGGTGGTGGTGGGTGGTGGGTGGTGGGTGGTGGGTGGTGGTGGGTGGTGGTGGATGGTGGTGAATGGTGATGGATGGTGGGTGGTGGGTGGTGGGTGGGTGGTGGGTGGGTGGTGGATGGTGGTGGGTGGTGGTGGGTGGTGGGTGGTGGGTGGTGGGTGGTGGTGGGTGGTGGTGGATGGTGGTGGATGGTGGGTGGTGGGTGGTGGGTGGTGGGTGGGTGGTGGGTGGTGGGTGGTGGTGGTGGGTGGTGGGTGGGTGGTGGGTGGTGGTGGATGGTGGTGGATGGTGGTGGGTGGTGGGTGGTGGGTGGTGGGTGGGTGGTGGGTGGTTCGTGGTAAGTGGTGGGTGGTGGGTGGTGGGTGGTGGGTGGTGGGTTGTGGGTGGTGGGTGGTGGGTGGGTGGTGGGTGGTGGGTGGGTGGTGGGTGGGTGGTGGATGGTAGTGGTGGGTGGTGGGTGGTGGGTGGTGGGTGGTGGGTGGTGGGTGGTGGTGGGTGGTGGTGGGTGGTGGGTGGTGGTGGGTGGGTGGTGGATGGTGGTGGATGGTGGTGGGTGGTGGTGGGTGGTGGGTGGTGGGTCGTGGGTGCGTGGTGGGTGGTGCGTGGTGAGTGGTGGGTGGTGGGTGGTGGGTGGTGGGTGGTGGGTGGTGGGTGGTGGGTGGTGGTGGGTGGGTGGTGGTGGGTGGGTGGTGGTGGGTGGGCGGTGGTGGGTGGTGGTGGATGGTGGTGGGCGGTGGTGGGTGGTGGTGGGTGGTGGGTGGTGGGTGGTGGGTGGTGGGTGGTGGGTGGTGGTTGGTGGTGGTGGATGGGTGGTGGGTGGTGGTGGGTGGTGGTTGTGGGTGGTGGTGGGTGGTGGTGGGTGGGTGGGTGGTGGGTGGTGGTGGGGTGTGGGTGGTGGTGGGTGGGTGGTGGGTGGTTGGTGTTGTTGGTGTTGTTGGTGTTGTTGGTGTTGTTGGTGGTGGTGGTGGTTGTCCTGTGATTATGTACATTGAAGCAGACGTCGCAACTATGTTTGTGCTTTGCCTTTCTCCAAGGGCTTCCACTTCTCAAATGGCTGTGGCTCCAAAACCCGGTACCAAAATGGGTTGCCCTCGTAAGTGGAAACATGGACCAAAACCTGCGTAACCCCTCCTGTTTAGTTCTGAGCCACACCCAAATGTTCCGATTTAGCTGTGGCGGCAACTTTTACGAGGCAGGTGTGGTCTGGCCAGCTCGATGGTTGGAGGAGGATTTCCATAGACTGGCTTCAGTGTGGTTGGCATGTGTTTAGGTGTTTTAAGCGCTTGGGTGTGGGTAAAGTGGCCACTGGCTATATGACCTATATTTCGGGTGAAGCGAAAACGGATACCTGCAGGACCCACATGCGTGCGTTTGGTTGGGGGGGGGGGGGGCACCACGCCACCCCCCACCCCAACTCGCCTTGGGACGTGGTCGTCCGCGTGGACGTCCGCATCAAAAAGTCGTGGCTGAGGTCGAGGTGCCGCAGGGCGCGATCGCCGGCAGCACCATCAAGTTCAGATTGTCCGACGGGCGCTGGCTCCAGGCGAATGGCGAGCCTTTCGGCTCGTTTCGATTAAAAAATGAGGTCATTACCCAAATTGATGGGGTCATAGGGTCATGGAGACTCCAGGCTGAAGGAAATCTCAGCATTGGAGTGAAGTGCGAGTTCGCACGTCGCTGCGTTGCCTCGACATCTTCAAGTCGGGGCGAGTTGATTCGGCTCCAATGCGCGAAGCCAAGCCGAGGCATCGAGGTGACTTTCCGCTGCTGGTGAGCCATTTCATGTTGACCCCGGATGAACAAAACACCAGTTTTTATTCATAGGGCGAAACAAGAGTGGTCTGATTCCAACCACCAAACCCAGGGACACCCTCCTACTGTGGATGGACGAACTCCATTTCGCACCACCTTTGAGACACCCAACGGAATGATTCCATTCCCCAACGTAAATGCCAACAAACGTCATGGTTTCCTTCCCACGGTTTCTTTTCGTTTCATTTCGGTGGTGCGAGACTCGCGGATGTCGCAACCATCCACAGTATGTCATCAATGTGTGTAACCAGGGAACTGGGTTAGTTGGTGTATAACCATAATTGTAATTAATTCCTACTAAAGTGGGTTGAAACAGTATTGCAGAATTCTATTAACTTGGCTCCCAGCCATCCCCATAGCTTTGTGGCCTTTTTGTGTTTAGGGGAGGGTTTCCGTATTTAACCCACTAAAAGTTAAGCTTTTAGCAGGGGGGCTCCCCTTACCTGGAGTCCACACTGCTCCTTTTTCGCGCTCTGAGATTTGCGCGCAGTTCGCAAGCGACGACATCGCCGGATCTGCGGGCTCAAGCTCCCCTTGACCCTCAAGCCCACCCAACCAGATTGTTTCCAAGAATTCCCATTTGTAAGGCTGGGAATTTCGCTTGATCCTTGACCCGTTGCATTTTGTTAGATCACGGCTGAAACCGAAGCTACACTTCAGCCGTGCCATTCGCCCACACGCAAGTTCCTCCGTTCGCTGCCCCCGACAGGGTCTTGGACACCAGGCGACGCGCAACTCTGGTGTCCTGAGTACCATCCCAAACTGCATCAAACATGGGCCAAAGGCTTACTCTTCTTGCTTAAAGGCCATTGGGAATGGTTGCTTTATTTTTGACTGGGATTGTGGTTGACGTTTAAAGTCGTTCCTTAAAACCATGGTGAGCCATATGAAGGGGCAGCCCTCGGAAACGGAACTCGGGGAACCGTCGCCCCCGTCCATGTCCATGCCGGGCCGTTTGTGTGGCTGGCCCATGCCTAGGTCTCCCAGCTAGGTAAACCGTTTCTTTTTTGGTTGAGAGTTGCAATAATTAAATAGATCACAGAAAAAAGTTGGTACCCTTATTCTAACCTCTGCTGGAGGAAGATGCCCTCGGCTGGTTGCCAGGCTCAGATTCCGGAAGGCTATGGTCCCGGTGACGAGCCGCGCGCTGAGCAACAGGTCGTGAGTCGCGCGAGTCTCATGCGCCGGGAGTCGGGAGTCACAAGGTTCGAAGATTTCGCGGGTGACTCGTCTCTTGTTGAGTTGGTGCCCTTTTTCTCGTAGCAAAAGGAGAACCAAGAAAAAAACCCAGCCATTTTTGGAGGGCCCCAAAAAAAGGCACGCCTAAGTGCAGGGGCTGAGGTTGCCGAAATGCACTTGATGCACTGTTATGCTCGTTCATATTGTTGTGTACCCTATGCTTCCTCGACTATTTTTAAATAGGGGTTGTTCAACCCCTATTTGTTGCATTGACAACCCCTATTTTTTGACATTGGCCTTTGGGGTCCATTTTGGGTTGTTACTTTGTTTTATCGAAATTATGCCTGCTATTGCAACCTCTCAAGAAGCCTTGGGAGCCAGTAGATTACTATTTATTGATAGGGTCCTCGGCGCCCTTTCGTGTTTGCGCAATGCACCTGCTGAAAGTCTTGCGTAGACGGAGCCTTCATTCTAGCAAATTCTAGCATTGTCCTCTGCAATTTGCGCAGGTGGCACGAACAACAAGCACTTGTGTGCTTGTTTTTCCGCTCCAATTTTCACACAGCTCCAAAAACGACGTGAGCGTAGACAAACCGTAGACAAAGCGTAGAACAACCGTAGAAACACCATTTTTGTTTTGCATAGAACCACTATTTTTTGGCGTAGAACCATTATTTGTTGGCGTAGAATCACTATTTTTTGGCGTAGAACGGGCAAATTTTGCAGGGGACCCAGAAGATCAACATTCTCATCCTGGAATGGTTGCTGTGATGGGCAAAGATTATTGCTGTCCCGTTTTGTTTGGTTTGGCTAAGAAGGTGGGGCAAAAGAAGGACAGAAACGGTCAGAAGAGGATTCACCCTCACGCGCTACATGGTCATGTTAAGAAACCAAGCAAAATAGAAGCAACTAGCCTTGAAGATTGTAACACATATTGCTGCATATGAAAATACATATTCGGCTTTGGGATCCTATGAGGCGGCCTTAGCGTCAAGTCTTTCCTAGTCCCTGTTCCAGTCCAAAACGGAGGCTGCCGCTCGTCATCAAAAAAATAGTCTTTATCAAAAAACCGGGGTTGTCACAACGACTATTCCCGAAAGCATGGCGAAGAGTTCTTCCGCTGGGTTCACTTGAGTTATTCTCGTGAGAGTCATTGCAAGGAGTCATTGCAAGGAATCTTCTCATTGCAAGGTGTCATTGCAAGGAATCATCATCATGGAGTCATTGCAAGGAGTCATTGCAAGGAGTCATGAGAGTCATTGCAAGTTGCAAGGAGCCAAGTGCATGGAGCCAAGTGCAAGTTGCAAGTGCACGGAGTTAAGTACAAGTTGCAAGTGCAAGGAGTCAAGTGCAAGTTGCAAGTGCAAGGAGTCAAGTGCAAGTTGCAAGTGCATGGAGTCAAGTGCAACTTGCAAGTGCATGGAGTCAAGTGCAAGTTGCAAGTGCAAGGAGTCAAGTGCAAGTTGCAAGTGCAAGGAGTCAAGTGCAATTAACTTGCGAGGAGTTTAAATCTCTTCTTAGGGCGGCGGGGTAGTGCCGACGACACTCTACGAAAATCGACCCTCTGCGGTGATTGGCGTGGTCGAGGTACAAAAACTTGTTTTGGCCCGCGCGACCCTCTGCGGGGATCGGCGTGGTCGAGGTGCAAAAACTCGAGTTTTTTTTGCGATTTTGTTTTGGCTCGCGCGACCCTCTGCGGCAAAAACTCGATCGGCGTGGTCGAGGTGCAAAAACTCGAGGTTTTTTGCGACTTTTGTTATTCGAACTGGTCCTCGGGGGGCGTCTCGTGGTTCGCGCGCCTGCTCCCGGGACCGGCGGGTCGCGGGTTCAATTCCCCCCTGGTCCGCGGGCGGGCTTCGCAAGCTGCACGGAGCAACTTGCATTGAGCAACTTGCGCAGAGCAACTTGCGCAGAGCAACTTGCGCAGAGCAAGTTGCACAGACCATTTTGCGCATTTGCGCAAAGCACCTTGCCCAGAGCAACTTGCGCAGAGCAACTTACGCAGAGCAACTTGCACAGAGCAACTTGCACAGAGCAGCTTGCACAGAGCAACTTGCGCAG